AAATGGTGAGGTCGAAATTGCAGTGCAATCGAGGATACCTTTTAAGAATCAAGGCTAGCTGGATCGTAGACATGAAGGTCAAGATGGAGTGACCGTTTGTCTGTTCGCAGTCCCCATGACCAGTTCGGATGGTTTGATGCTGGAAATCATTCATCATGAATGAAATGGCAGACATTCCGCTAAGTCTCTCCTCCATTAATCCGACTAAGTTGTGGATGCGAAACCAAACCAAGGCTAACTGGAATTCGCAGAAATGCATCTAATTGCCGGAAAATTGAACAACTAACCCTTCGCCCCTTTCTTCGGCATAGGCTGACTAGAATTCTTATTTGGAATTGGCTTTATGCGACCGCAACTGTTGGCCTAATAGATCAAATTGAGATGCTGCGCCAAAATGGCCAATCATCCTCCTCTTTTAGCGCTGTTTGTCAGTGCAAAATAGGCTTTTCCTAAAATTCACACTAAAATCTCCACTCCTGTGACCCACGGAACTACTTGGCCTGGAAATATGAGGGCAAAAGGATTGTCGTGGCTACGTATTGATCGTTAGGATTTGTAGCTAGCCCGTCGTCACCGCAATCGCCAGGCTGCGAGTGTGCAGAAGCGGTGCGCAGGTAAGCCCATCCGTCAGACGAATAGGCGACAGCTTCAACTGGTCTGGCCATATCCCTACCTATTCTAGCTTTTGATTGGCTGACAAAATGCACCAATCAGATTGCAGGTAGTTTTTTGTCTGCCCGGGCTGCAGGCTGCAGGCCGCTAAACCAGCCAATCAGCCAACCAGCCATGCAGCTGGCAGTATTCTGGTTTGGTTCCGGCAGAAGGCGCGACATGGTAAGAATTGGGCGAGTGGAGTTGTTGGCGTCGTGGGCGCTGGGCCTGAGCGAGTCGGTCGAGGGAACAACGACCAGGAGGCCCAGTCTCCTGATCACTTGGGCAGGAGGGGTACAGCCCCTCGGGACTAGCCAATGGCCAATGGCCAATCTCCAATCGGCCAAGAGGACAGGCTTTGTTGGGCTGGTGACAGAGACAGAGACAGAGACAGAGAGTTTGAGGCCGGGCGATAGGGCACAACACGCTGATAACGCCAGTCCTGCGCCCGGTGACCAGTTGCCCAGCCGACAGGCTCGTCTTATCCGTTCATTTGCAATCCCATTGGCCCGACTATGATCTGCCCAGGCCCAAGCGGTTTTTACTCTCGAGCCGTGTCTTGTCTGCACCACTTTGCTCCTCGGTTTGTTCACTCGCTCCACGTCTCTTCGTCTCCTCGTCTCGTCTCGCCTCGCCTCGCACCTCTTCCGACATCCGCGCGCTTCTGTCCAGCTTCCGGCCTGACGACTCTGCGTTACCGGCCTCGTCGAGTTGTGCCCTGGCCGGCCGAACCTTCGGCGTCGACGTCCGCGCTTGACCTCGTCACCGACGCGTGGTGCAGCG